ATTGAAATTGTATATTACGAAGATAATTCGTGATAAACACATAGATAAATAAATATTCTCTATGCCTGGTGTAAGCGAACAGCATAAATCTAAATACAAAAAAATGATTAACCATTTCACGTTGTTTAAAAATAAGTAATAAGGTCAAAGAATTTTAATCGCTATTTGTGTATACATCCTTGTTTTCATATATATAGACATTTATTGCATATTTATACAATGAAACTAATCAAATAACTAATTAATGTACACATCAGACTACGTAGAATTCGGTCTGTCTTTATATTTACTTATCTTTATCTCATTTAACTTTTTTTGTCATTTATAGTAGGATAATTTGCTTCTTCATTAATTAATGCTTTCTTTCTATAGATTATGACTATATATAATCAGTATAACGGAATTACTTAACCAAAATGGATAATAAAACTCTTAAATCGATTAAGAATAAAAATTAGAAGTGAAATGAAATAGAAATAAACCTATAGGGAATATTTAAATAATAAATACTGTATTATTTGTATCATATTTTTGGGAAATTTATTCAATTCATTAATCTCTATAAATAATTTAGATATTTATTGAAGTTATGAAACTACAATTAGATAAATTTCATTATTTGAATATCACTGAAACGTATAACAATAATCTTGAATAATTTTAACGACTGTTTTATTTGTAATTTTCCAAATAATGGTTATTAGCGTAAGACTAGACAACGTTTCTGTAGTCTGTTTAACTAATTAACTGAATGAGTTCTTTAATCGTTTAACCTATTTTTATTGTTTTTGTTACCTAGATTAGTTAAAAATTTCAGAAATATAGATATTTTTCTCAACACATTCACATGTCTATCATTTGGGTGGAAGTAAATAACAGAAATACATATCTTCTTCTCAACTATGGATTTTAGGCTACCGTGAATGAATCAATATTTAAGCTAAAGTCTGAAAATCCACTATTTATATATGATAAAAGATCACTAAAACTTAATTTCATTCTCTAGTTATGAAACATCATACAATTGTCTCTCTCAAAATTTTTGTGGTTACTTTTCATTTAAAGTCAATTTTACACTGATTGATCATTTTATAGATAAAAATATCATATTTGTCTGGTTCTTTAGTGCTGATCGAATTCTATCAATCAGATTTCAATGTCAGTCCGTCAGTCAGTAAGCTACAACGTTGGGCCAAGCACATATATGCATCGTTCAAGTTGCCATACCGCATAAGCACAGCAAGATGAACACTGGATTCATAGACATAGTTACTTCAATGACGTTAATATATATAAGAAAGATTGGATTTAAGAGTATAGTACAGGAAGAAAGAATTAGTTCGTAGAAAGAAAGATATGAAGTGATTTTAATCTCTTAGTTTAAGGGAAGACAGAGAGTGTATGCACCGACGCCATTGTGATCGATTCTGAGCCATGTCACTAAGTCTCCAACCATCGGTTACGATAGTCACATGGACCCCAACCAAGTAGTCTGCATCTACCAACATGGCTAAGATCAGATGTTAGTGACTTCAAGCACTGATGCCACGTTTTGATTTGGCCGCCTCTTTCTTTCAACCATCTCCAACACCGGTTAGCATTGCACGACGTGGTAATCGGTGATCAGGCATACGCAACACGTGGCCTAACGGTCTCACTCGATGAAGATTCACAACCTCATCAACTGATTCACCATCAATCCCTAATACCCTGCATCTAACAACACTATTACTTACCCGGTGATCCCAATAGACGCCAGCAATATTTATAAGGCATCTGTGATCAAACACTAATAGTTTACGGGTGTCTTCTACTCCTAATGGCCATGTTTCTCAGCCATAAAGTAAAACAGAAAGAACTGTCGTGCAGTGTACTCGTCCTTTTATTGATAGACGGATATCTCGCCTTCGACATAGGTGACGTAAGTTGGCAAAAGCCAAACGAGCTTTTCGAATCCGTGCTGAGATTTCGTCAAACACCAACCCATTAGAGCTGATAAAACTTCCAAGATAAGTGAAGTTGTCAACGCGTTCGACTACTTCACTCCCCATCCTTAGTTCAGTTGTTGACGCAGACCAGTCCTGAAGCAACAACTTGCATTTAGAGGGAGAGAAGCGCACTCTAAACATTCTGGCATTGTTGCTTATTACTACCAAGAGACACCACTTGAGGTTGCAAAAGTAGATGACAGTTCGCCATGAGTTCTGACTCGACTGGTAGTGTTCAAGTAAAGAGCCTTCACAAGGTTTATGTACTTCTGACGTACGCCTTTCAGTGACAGACACTGCCACAGAATCTCGCGGTCTACCGAGTCAAATTCTGCTTTTAAACAAGAAAGACCACCATTGTCGGACGCCGATAAGTATGCTTATGTTCTAGAACCTGATGAATGGTGAATATGTGGTCGATGCAGCCACCATCAGGTCTGAAGCCAGCTTGGTTTTCTCGTGTTTGCACTTCACGAGTCATAGGCGTCTGATAATTATCGAGGCTAGTATTTTAGATCTTATATTAGTTAAACTAATCCCTCTGTGGTTGTCACAGGATGATTTTGACCCTTTCTTATATATTGGGACGATAAGTGATTGTGACCAGTTAGATGGGATAACGTCTAACTCCCAGATCTTAGCTAAAATATTAGTCAACCTAATCGCTAAAATTGGACCACCATCCTTAAAGACCTCTGGAGCCAATCCATCTGGACCAGCTGCCCTTCCTCGTTTCAGATTAACTATAGCCTTTTGAACTTCTGCTAGAGTTGGGGGACCTACTTCAATGTTCCACTCACACTGTTTGGTAATGGTGGGTAGTTGTAGAGTAGCTGAAGATCAGTTGAACTGTTCTCTGAAGTGTTTCGCCCATCGTTCTAAACGTCTGGACTGGGAGCAGATGAGAGTGTCGTCTTTTTCCGAAATAGTCTGACTTATACTTGACTTAGTAATTCCAGTTTCTCTTATTAGTCTGTAAATCTGTCTTGTGTTCCCTATAGTCGTCGCCTTTTCCATCTCTTTTGCTTTCGTTGCTCACCACTACTCACGGTCATTCCTTAGACTTTTGCTTAACGTAGATCTGATTTGTTGTCGCTCTTCATCATGTTCAGAACTTGATGGGATGAGTTTACGAGAATCCATCAGTGTGATAGACTTTGAAGAAATCCACTGGTTCTTTGTAACTCTGGTTTAAGTTACTAATAGATTTCATTGCTGTTTCCACAGCTGTTTGTATATCTTTCCAAGCAACATCTGGGTTAGCCTCGTCTTCAGAACTACCTAAGTGTGACCTTAGTTGTTCCTGGGACCTACTTTTGGTTTTCTCGTTACTCAACTCAGTTCTAATGGGTCTTCTTCATGTGGCTTTTTTGCGTCTAGTGAGGCGCAAGCAGATGCGTGCCCGTATTAAGGCATGGTCGGAGTCCAAGCAGGTACTCCAGAATGAGCGACAATCTTCTACCGACCCTCTCCAACGATGACTGATGGTAATATGGTCTATTTGAGTCCATCGTTGATTTGGTGTAGGGGGTCGCCATGTTAGACGAAGTCTTTTCTTATACTTAAAATTTGTGTTTGCTAAAAATAAACGATTGTCTGAGCATAGTCGCAGTAGACGATCACCATTATCTGTTCTCTGTGCCGGTATACTAAAATACCCACCTTAATGCCTTTCTGTTTGGTTTAAACTACCTATCTGGGCATTAAAGTCACCTGCTACGAGTACTACGTCTGAACGTTTAGCTTTCTGAGGAAGTTCAGATAGCTTTCTGTAAAATTCATCTTTCATTTAATCTGAGCTGCAGTCGGTGGGAGCGTAGGCAGAAACGACAAAAAGGCAACGACGTGTGTCCCTATTCTTCGAGGTTCTTACGGAGCCGTTTAGCCGAACAGCACATAGACGACTGTTGACGGGACTCACTCTAACAGTGCTTGTGCCGCCCTCATGAGTTTTAGTGACTTGATATCTTGTACATTATGCTGAGATATTAAATAGTTCAAGGTAGTCTGCGTAAATAGCTCAGAAATAATGTCTCAAATCGGGAGACCAGACAACCAAGGTTCGGTTCTAAAAGTTTATAACATTAATCTCGATATCGTAAGGCAAGCTCTGCTACAAGTGATAACTAGGACGAAACCTAAGTTTAGGATTTTCTACCGACTGCTTCCAACTCCCTAACATTAACGTCAACTTCATTACACTGAAAGGGTTATTTCGAAAGTAAAAACTATTTTTTATACACGTAGTACTGTAGTGAATGAAGACGTGGTGGGGGCAACCAGTTTATTATCTAATACAAAAGTAATGTTTTCATAATATATGGAAACTATAACAATAAATACATTATTTGCACATCTTTCTTCAGTTGTCTTGTGCATGCTTCATAATTCTTTCAATTCCATTGTTATTAAAATTACTTTCTGTTTACATTCCTGTTCTCTTTAATGCGATCTTCTCAATCTTCTGCTGCTAGGCATTCCACTTCTAATTGGTGTTGTTAAATTCTACTTACATATATCAATATAAGAAGCATATACCACAGTACTGTTAATCTAACTAGGCTACAAATGAGTTTCAAACGTACATGATCAGGCTGTTAGTTTAAGTTTTGATTCATTAGCTAAGTCTTTGCATAATTATTAAATACATAAAAATAGTTTAAATTTTGTTACTAACTTATGATATAATTACCTGTTTGTTATTTTTCTCATAATTTCTCCAAAAAAGAAACTAAATTAATACAAAAATTCACCATGGAAATATTTTTATTGTTTCGCTTCATTTGTTTGTCACAGTATCATGACTATCTATTCTATTTAATATATAGAACTGTTTAGAACATTGTTAGTTATCAAAAATTCATTAATTCTTTCTTTTTTTTTATACATAAACAAACAAAAAGAATAAAATGTTGTTAATTTTTTGATTATTTACTGTAACTAAAATGTGTTGATCCATTTGTATTTTAATTGTTTTCTTTTTCAATCTTTTTTTTAATAATAATTATTTAGTTTTATGAATGTGGCTGAATTAATTATGGAATATATTGTTCAAGAAAATCATCTATTCGGATCAAATCTCAATCATCACATTGATGTTAGTTCCATTGGTAGTGGTAGTAGAAGCAGTGTTACTGTACCATTGGCACAGTTTAAATCAGATCGTTTGAATATCAATAATTTGCATGGATTGGATGATGAAGTTATCTTTGGTAACTCATCTACTGACTTTGAATCAGATTTTAATGAAGATAATCAGAATATGGAAAATAACAATCTTGGTATTAATAAACATAATAGTAATAATAATTTTAATGATAATAATGATTATTCATTTATAAAACAACCAGTTATCCATGTTAAACTAATTCATTTTATGCATCAATCAAATTCATCTAAAGTCACTCTTAGTTCATTAAATAACTTTATTAATTTAAATATACCACGTTTACTAATGCAATCAAATAATATGCATATTTTTGTTCAATTTGAGGTAAGTTAGTTTGATTATAATAAATTTTATTATTATTCACGTTGTTTCAATATGTAAAAGGTATTACTTTGTTCATTTTTGCTATAGAATGTGTCATCTTTGTAATCATATCTTATTACTGAATGACTGAAATTCCTATGATATTTTGTAAAATATTAATAACTGGTTATTAAATAGGTTTCATCATTGAATGGCTGATGTAAGTGACAGTTTGGTTTAGTAAGATAAATTTTAACTTTTTAAAATTAAAATATCGCTTCTAATGTACCTAAACGTTGATAATTTCTTTTTGGTTTTAAAGGAATCTCTTAAATTTTTTATTGGTCGTACCTACTGTAACGTTCAGAAAGCTGATAAGAGCGACAGTAGTAGTTCCATTTTCATGTTTTCCAACTTATTAATCAGAAAAACGAATGTTACGATTCAATTTTTGGCATAAAAGTTTTATAATTCTTTTGGAAGTAGGATATTTATCGACTTTTTAAGTACGTAGAGTAAACTTATTCGGACTTTTTTAATTAAAAGGCTGTATATATTCAGATACTATGTCATAAAGGCTTCACATTACAAAATACCAGGATGTTTGGATTAGGACTTCATTACCAATCTTTTATCACCAACATCACCGTCTAACCACTTAATCATCAGAGATAATCGTGCCATTTTACTAATTAAATGGCTAAATTGTGCAAACTCTTTCGCTAGTTTTCTTTAATCAAATATAATTTTGCATGTCGTAGTGCGTATTACTGACTGTAGATGTGGGTTTTTTGGCAGTATTCGGATGTGCGAACTGTTTCAGATTATGAAAATTACCCTTTGTTATTGGCGAAAAGAATTCAGTAGATGTTAGATGAGGCCAATCAGACTGCTTTCAGTTTAAAGGTCTATTTACTTCATCTTATAATGTTTGAATGTTGTTTGTCGAATTGAAACATAGTGATAAACAAATGAAACTGTTTTCCGAACTCTAAAATATTCCAAATATCACGATTATCCTTTCTGAGTATTAAAATCAGGCAATTACGTTTCTGAGCTTATTCTAGTGAGATCGTTTGATCACCTAGGTTTGAACAACAATGTTGATTAAATCTATCAGGTTTTTTAGACGGAAGGATGTGTTTAATTTCAAAGTATACTTACGATATTTTAATGTTGTCTTGCTAAATTTCCCTAAGGTAGTTCTTAACCTTACATCTGACATTTTTTATTGAAATTTCTAAATGATCTCGTGGACTCTATCCACAGTTTAGGTTCATCTTGATAGTAATCGGGATGAAGTTCTAAAGGTGAAGTTCAAAAATGGTTTTTTCATAGACTTACATCAGCTGTATAAACCAAGGGAAACTACAAGGTATTAATGGTAGTGTTTCAGACTAGCTTGAGACACATTAGGGTACAGGATTTAGGAATATACATATAACCGAACTCGGAGTACTCACACTTGTGACTATTGGAGACAGCCATTATCAACTTACGGCCTGCCCAAATCTGTGTTAGCTCAAGCTTACAAGCCACATTAATAAAAAGAGTTGAAATTAACGAGATAAATACGCAAAAGAGTCTAAACAATGTGGCGACAATTACAGTGAGAACAATTAATTGTTCAGAATATGTTTCGAGGAGACTGAATGAAAATATACGTATGGAAGAGCACTGAAACTCATGATCTATATGAGGATAAAGGGTTGATGCCGCTTTTCGACTTGGATGGCACGGGCTTTCTTTCAACCTCACCCTACTACGATCAACATTGCACGTTGAGGTAGTCTATGACTACTGCTACACACGGTGGTCTAAATTAACTCAACTAATATTGTAGCGTAACCATTATCATCTTAGTTCTGTAGTTCTCCAAAACAGTCTTCATTTGAATGAAACCTTGGGTCATTGATTTTAACTATAATTTTAGAAGACTATCTCGAAGTTAATTACGAATGTGCTTATTGGTATTATTTCAACAGTTGGTTTTTCATAATCACATTTTTTCAAGGTGAACCATCTTTCTACTTATTAAAGTGTCATGATGTGGTTATGCCAATTTGTTAATTAGATATTTTCTAAAATTTTAACATTTAGAAGTACTTTTCAGTTCAAATTTGCACACTTTTCAGCTTAATATATTAATGAGTGGCTAACCTAGTTAGTTTTTATGGTAAAACATTGGTTAAAGCAACATTTTTACTTAAATATAGCAGATGTTACTTGAAAGTTTTGAAGCAATAATTTGTTAATTAACAATTTTTTATGAAATCAACACTCCATAGTTAAAAAAAATGATGCTTTTGTATGTCTTATGAACTGTATGAGACTCAGTTTAGCGTTCCTTACATGCAATACATAAAACATTGTTATTCTTTTAAATTTTTGATGATCATTTATTCAAAAATACTGTTGTTAATTTGGATTGAGTTGACTTTTTTTGTTGTGTCTCACAATAGAGTTCCACATTTGATGAATGTTAAGTCAATCTTTATCGGTCAAATAGAAAGATTCGAGTACATAATTAAGTCTTTAAGTATTAACCCAAAAATTAGAATTTTTCAAGTAATTATTAATTAATAGTAACGTTTTAAGTAAATTTGTCGGGTAGAGACAGGTATCTACCTCAGTACAATGGAAGGTAGTCGCGCAATTTCGTGGATTGGTTGATGTCAGACACTAACACCATTGGATGCCGGCTCAGTGGTCTAATGGTTAATTGCTCAGGCGCGAAGCCAGTAGGTCCTGGGTTCGAATCCCGCGGGTGCGGGATCGTGGATACGCACTGCTGAGAAGTCCCATACTAGGATGAAACGGCCGTCCAGTGCTTCCAGGTTTCCAACGGTGGTCTAACATCAATTAATTCATGATCTCAACCATAAATTTTATGTTATTAATAATGTGGTAAGTTGCTTATATAAACTGAGTTAAATTTCATACAAGAGATGTATGACTTTTAACGTAATTATTCTTTCTGTTTCCAGTGACGAATTTTTTTTCAAATAAAAATATTTCATTTTCAAGTAAATTCGGTGTTAAACTAGTTTTTATCATTTACTTATTTTACTGATTCACCAAATGATCACTCATTTTTTTCTTTCATTAGATCAGTTTTCTAAACATTAGATAGTTTTCGACTCAAGAAACTAAGATGATATATTAATCTGAATGGGAAATAGACATATTCTAATTGTGCTTATACTTATTAATTTACTGTCAGTATGGAGGTTTGTAGAGATTGGAGTATTTTCACAATTGAATTAACTTGTCGATTTTAGCCGGGGAGTCCCATACTAGGACGAATCTGCCGTCCAGTATTTCTATGTTTTCGCCAGTAATCTAGCTTTGATTGACTCACAAATTCAACTGTAAAAGCTAATTATCAGTTGGATTCCTAGCGAAAAACAACAAAACTCTGAGATTTGCTTCATATCATGACCTAATGTAATGATAAATTTCATAGTACTTTTTTGTTACTCATTAGCGTAGGATAACCGATTAGTCTCATTTATCTAGTCTTTTACTGCTGGTCGAATGTTATCAATCAAGTGACAATGTGGACACTAGTCTAAGTGCTTATGTCCTACAAGTTAATGAATTGAAATAACTGGTATTATTTTTTCAGCTGATATATTCATGTTACATACTATTTTGGTATTTTTAAAAATTTAATGAGATTTCTAGATTCAAGGAAAATATAGGAACTATATTTGGTCAACAAGTTCCCATCATGTCGTCCGCCTGTATGATGGGGATTATAACCTTATTCAATAGGCTATTATAACTTAAAATTCATCATGTGAAATTTTCTTAATCAAATTAAGAATGACTTAGTGACTTAATAAAAAGACAATTCGAGAAAAATTAATGACTTTATTCAACTAGAAACATAACTAAATATTCTTCTAAACTTTTAAGTAGCGAATTGACAAACTTTCTTTAATGCCACCAATTATAATTCAGTCAGTAAGCGAACTTAAAATAAAAGTGAGTGAAAGAAACTAGTGAAATTAAATCAGAAGTACCTAAGTATTTAATAATACTTATCTATTGAATATCGTTTCGATTTGTTCTAGGCGTACCTGAGGATACCGTACATAAAAAATATTCTATTTTTTATGAACACTGTTTTTAGTGCTTCAATTCTTACTCATGCATGATAATTCCGGTTTTAGTAAATTTTTAAAAAAACAAACGGATGAGTGAAATTAAAATAAATAAAGTACATTTCATTACTCCGTATTTTCTGAAAGATTTTATTCTCACAATTAATTGATCAATGGGTGGTGATCAATGTCATGTGTGTCAGGTTTTTCCTTGTGCAGATCGAATGTTATCGACCAAGTTGTAATGTGGCCACTAGTCTAAGTGACTCGACATTGCGTGCACTGTGTTGAGATAGGATGGTGTTTGGAGTTAGTCAATCCTGGACCCGGGTTTCGCGCTATTTGTCACTCGACATCCCTCTAGATTATAGGTACACCTTGCTGACGAGCGCCAAATAGTACAAAACTCAGGTCCAGGTTTTCCTGTTGACTACCTCCAACTACAATCTTAAGATTTTATTCTTTTTGGACAATAATGACTAGTGACTAGTGATCTTCGATGCTAATTGGAAATGTAGTCTACCGGGAAAAATTGAAAACCAATTAAATCAATTTTTAAGATAAATGAATTTTAGTTTGAAGTGGGATTGGATATACTTTTCAATCTAATTGAGATTGGTCGTTTGGATGAACTCATACTTAGATATTGATGTTCATAGTGAGACTGAAGTTTAGTACTTTTGACTTCAAACTCCAAGATTTCGTATACTGGGTTACTGAACCTAGTTAGCCAGTAACTTGTCACCAGCCACAATGTTTAAATCATTATTAGTCAGTGTTTAAACTACACCTTTTTTAATATTATGAACTGGATTCTAACCAGTCTTTGTTAGAACATAAGGATCTTGTGTGAATTACCACTGTATAGTCACTCTGTGACAGGGCTTTCAAAAGGATGGGTTTTAACTGTCA